CAGGTATTGGTCTGATGACTGCGAACGTGGACACCAACCAGGCCAAAATGCTGCAGAACGAGGCTGAGCGGCCTTGTACACTGCCCTGAACGTGCCAGGTTTCGGGCGCAACCCTCCAGAGCGGTGCCGGGGCGTCGTCCTGCCAGGCGGCTGAAAGTTCCCTGGGATACCAAATGATGGCAGGGGAGGAGAGGATTCTGGCTTGTGAGCGGGCATCAAGCCGCAATGGGAAGAGGGAGGCTCTATCCAGGACGAGCAGGTTCCATTCACCAGGACGTCGCCAACGAAGAATGGCCAAGAGTTCAGCAGTGTGGACCGTGGTGTGCTCCCACCCGTACCTGGCAGGCAGGCGAACTGCTGGTTGTGGGCCCCCTCCGATGCCGTGGTCCAACAGTGAGAGCGCGCGAAGGCTCTCTTCTGGCGCGCGGCCACGGTGGCTTCTTCATTGGCCCGACCGTCTGCGAACAGTGCTAGATCTGTGTTATGCAGAACCTGCTGTCTGCTATCCAGGTGTTGGCTGCGCAGATCATTGCTGGGGTCTTGCGGGTCCTCCCAGGCTGCCTCGGACCAGTTCTCAGTAACTAGCAAGTGATGAACTCCAAATAGATCGCACTCAAGGGCCCAATCGGCCCGGCAGCGCGCCAAGCTAGCGGCAGTAGCATCTGCACATTGTTGGGGTGAGGCCGGACAGTCCGCAGGCAGGTGAAGCCAATGTGCAGGATTTCCCCATTCAGTGTCTGCGATCCCGCTGTTGCGAAAGTGAATCAGACAGGACCGGATGGCATTAGCCAGCCGACCCACTCTGCAGCAGAGCAACATGCGGGTGTATTTGCGTTGTTCAAAAGGGCCTATTTGACCGGGAGGTCGGTGCCCCTGCAGGTTTGCGAGATGATCCAGGATCCTACAAACAGTGCGGTCCATACTCGCATTGACAAAGATACCATAGCAGAGAAGGCCGAAAAGGCAGAGGAACCTACGGAGGCTGCAAAGCCAGAAGAATCCAAGGATGAAGAGATGGAAGAAGTCGACCCAGCTGAAGGGATGTCGATAGCAGATGTATGCAGAGAAAAGTACAACTTGAGCGAGAATGCCATAGAGATGCTATTGGAGGAGGATAAGCAAGATAGCGTTCGCGCAGCACTGAAAATGCTGGAAAGCAGCGTAGACCAGTTGCCAAAAGGATATGGCAACCACCTGGAGCGACTTAGTGCTGACTTCGACAAGTGGACGACTGAGCTGTTGGAAACGATAGCTGTTACGGAAGATGAAGTGGAAACGAATACCATCAAGCGAGATGGAACACAGGATGCCAGGGAATTGGCACTCACTCGGAAAGCCGAGGCTGAACTCAAGAAGCTAGAGGCAGAGAATGATATCAAAGCAGCAGAGAAAGAGATCAATGAGTACGACGAGCAGTTGGAAGAGATAGGAAAAGCAAGAGAGAAGTTAAAGGCAGGCCGTCAAGCCGTGAGGGAGACACTGCAAGTGTCGGAAAGAGTACTTCAAACGCTGAAGCATACGGTGAGGCAGCTACGTACTGTTGGAAGCATCAACGAAGCAGTAAAGAAGAATTTGTTTCAAGATGAAGAAAAGAAAGGAAGTGCGCAGTTGCAGATCCTACGCATGATGATGCAGAAGAGAAAGAGTGGGATGGAAACCCCGCGAAGTATGCCAAGCGTTGCAGTTACAGATGACGAAGGCGAAGGCCACAGAAAGCGAGTCCGCGGGACAGACAAGCCGAATGAGCCGGCAGACCCTCCTAGAACTCCGAGAACGCAGCAGCTGAAGGTTAAACCGGAGGCAAAGGTGGCTCCGGATATCCTAAAGGAGAAAGAGGTTCAGAAGGAAAGAAAGGACCGAAAGAGGGACCTCGAAGGAGTCCATGACAAGTGGTTGTTGAAGAGAGAATGGAAGGAAAGTCATGGAGGATTCCGTTGCTTCCATTGCGGGAGCGACTCACACAAAGCGTTTGAGTGCCCGACTATGCTTGATGAAGCGAAAGAAGAAGGTGCTGAACAACTCTCGCCAAATGTAAAACGTCAAGGCGGATGTTGGTTGTTTTGCCGATTGTGCTTTCGAGCCAATGTGGGATTCAACATTACTGATGACAATGGAAAGAAGCGCATAGCCGTTGGTTGGGGCAACCACACGGTGCAAAAGTGTAGACTCAACAAGACAGGAATTGACCCGTCAAAGCCTGATATGAGTCTGGTGAATCCTAAGAAGCCCAAAGTTGGAGAGAAAGTGATAGACATCGAGGCTGAAGAAGAAAAGAAGAAAGAGAAGAGCACTACTGGCGCCAGTTCAAGTGCCAAACCGAACATCTTTACAACGCCGGATGGAAAAGTTCGTCCGAACCCAAAGTGGGGAGAAGAGCGACCTCGAGTTGAGGAAAAGAAATGCCCAAGAAGGGCAAGGAAAGCAAGGACAAGGAGAAGAAGGAGAAGAAAGAGCACAAAGACAAGAAGCATAAGAAAGACAAGAAGGATAAAGATCAAAGGGCCGAGAGCCCGGAGAAAGGTTTTTCAGAAAAGGATGTGGCGGACATGTCTTGAAAGGCCTTGCGAGACAAGGCCCAGAGGGCGAAAGAATGCTCAAGCCATTTTGGCAATACAATGGATGAGAGCAAGATTTGTACAGAACGTTTTCACTATGGACCGAACAGAAGCAGGTGAAAACAGTGAGGCCACCGGCCAAAGGAAAGAAGGTTTCACAAGATATGCGAGAAAGGAGAGCCGAACAAAGAGGTCTGTGTAATGGACCCAGAAAAGGCAGATCCAGAATCGCTACGGCTATAAGCCACACGACAAATGACACTACGATACTTCCCGGAACAATGGGAAAAGAAGAAGTGAGTTTTTGCAAAGCTTTTGGGAGCCAAAGTCGCAACTGGACAAAAGCGATGGACTTTATCGCGAACCGCGACTTCGTAAAAAAGAGTGAGAGCGCATGTAGTTGCACGAGTTGATTCAATGGAGTGAGTGCGCTTTGTTCGTTTCACAACCGTTTTACTGGACACGAAGAGCCAGAAGGTGAAGAGAAGATGAAAGAAAAGGAAGGGCTCTATGGAGCATGCGAAAAGAGTTGAAGTTGCTCAAAGGAGCATGCGACAAATGTGAATGTGGACTGTAGATGAATGATTGAAAGTTCGAGTCAAGTCAAGGAAAGGACTTGAATCGAAGAGGGCGTAA